AAAAAAAAAAAAAAAAAAAAGAAGGAACCTGAACACATGTATAAAATGTATGAGCCTGAGAGCAAAAGAAGTAGTGAATGACTATTGACAGAGCGTGTGTGTGTGATTTGTAAAAATTATTTTCAATGATTCCTTCAAATATTGTAGTCTTCTATGTGAGAATGACTTTTAAAGGATGAATCCTTAAAAGAGAAAATGTAACTTACTTACAAGTAAGATTTAAAACAAATGAAAATATCTAATACGTAGGTACGTATTTGAATCAGCGATTCGCTTTGGCCAAGTATGGTGACGACTGTTCAAGATTCACTCGGAACGTTAAGGAAAAAAGAAACGTGTATAATCATTAAATTTTTATATTTAACTTTATACAATGGCAGCACAAAGTCTAAGGAAGTCTTTCGATATAATATAATAAAGAAAAAGGCTAGATAGGTTCTATTCTATTCACTAAGCATTTAATCACGACGGAATTTTGAATAGTAACTGCCTTGGTACGAAGCGAAAAATACAAAAAATAACAAATGACTGTCTATTGTGCGATACAAAATTTAGATTATATTTAAAGCGAAGAAGAAATGAAGAAAACAAGAGGGTAAATGAGAATGAAAGGAATGACGAATTCATCTGTTTATAGATGTACAATGATATGTAAATCGTTGAAATAGTGATCGAGAGGTAAATCTTTCATATAATTTTATGGTGAAATCATTAAGTAGAAGTACATTCTATTGAAATTTTTCTGTTTTTTTTTCCTTTTCATTTATTACGAATGCGATCTTGAATATATGTTTTATGGTATTATTTTTAAGATTATTTAAAATTTGTGAGTAGTCAGAAGTGTAAAACATACAAAATAATTTTGATTGAAAGTTTAATTGTATGTGTGTTGAAGTAATAATATGATCAGAGAAGGAAAGTGAGGCGGTAAATTCTCGGCTACAGTTTTACAACTTTATTTCATACACAACATATGTTCTCTAATATAATGTTTGTTGCAGAGATCGTTAGAAGATATTTAATATTACAATAAGATTATTTGTAAGATAATTTTTAGTTGACTTTTATTTGTTGGAATATTTTTTTTATACAAATAGTACGGTGAGAATGCAAGAGAATTTACTATGTCCACAGGATTGTTTGGCCAAACAAAGAGAGAAATAATGAAAACGTTGGGAAACATATGTTTATACGAATCAATATTTTTATATTTTTATGTTTCAATTATCAATATTTTTATATTTTTATGTTTCATTATAGACAGTACAGAAAGAAAAACATAATTATATCAAAGAAGAACAGAGAAAAGTGTATGATAAGGAAGAGAAAATAATGACACGTGCCTACAATAGTTACCATTGAAGTTTGTATATATATATGTATAAAGTGTATTCATATATCATGGACCAAGAAGAAAGTAATTTTTTCATTGTTACATAGTGAAGATATAAATACCAAATGAAAAAGAAATATATATGTATTATGAGGTAGATATAAAATCTGAAATATATAAAATAAGAAACGATCTCTTCTTGGTGCATGTGATACAAGTGGCACTATCTATACATATAGATATATATCTATAAGTATGTATGTAAATATATATAAATATATAGACGCATATATATACATACATATTGTAAAATAAAAGCGCGCGTATATTTGTAAGTCGTCTATATATGTGTAGATATAATTTAAAAAAAAAAATAAGTTAGATGATTGTGCTCATAGGAAACATAAAAAAAACACCTTTGCTAGCTTTTATTTATATACATGAGAAATTATAATAGTAACAAGAAGAATGAAATGTAGAAGTGGACGAGCAACAAAGAATCCGTCTAGTTCTGCGCTTGTAGATTTAAAATTCGTTACATAGATTCCGAATTTAAAAAAGAAAAAAAAAAGAAATAAAGAAACTAAGTATTTTCTCTGAGAACCGAAGTAACCGGAGAAAGAAAGAAAGAAAATTTAACAGAGGAACGCAAAGAAATGTATAATGAACAGAAATTTATAGTGGTCTATCTCAGGTTAAGTATAGGTTGAAAGAGGCGAACTCGAACAAATGTGTGATCACGTTTCAAATCTGTATATTTTAATTAAATAAACTGAAATATACAAATGTTTTCTTTACGAATAGCAGCATGAGCCCCCGTTGTGCACTGCCTAGAAATTTAAGCACCATTCTTGAATTATGCAAAAGGTACATTTATTTATTCTATTTTCATAAAGGAATTGTAATTATCAATAGAACATAAAATTAAATAAATTCATAATTTTCTTTTTTGTTTTTGTTCTAGATACTTGTAAGATGAAAATTGTCAAATCCAGAGTTGTTGAGAGAGAAATTAAACAGACTGAGATGTGAGATTGGATATTTAAAAAAAAAAAATCATTTAAACGGCTGTTATATTTCTATGCTGTTATTTGAAAAAATACAATTTTACATATATACAGACACACAGTTAAATTGAATTTTCCTTTTGTGATTCCATAATATTATTTATATAGGCATTTGCAGAAGTGTACTTAGCTCATATAGACATACGTTAATTATAATGTTAATTTATATATTATACATAACAATGTACATGCTAAATATAGATAATTTGGTTGACCAATAATAAATACTTTCTTCTCGTTTTGAAACCATCACTTTTATAAGAATATTCGAATATATTGTTACGCGCGCGCGATGATTACAATATAAATAGAAATACAAGAAGCGACAGAATATGATTCTTTAGAAGAATTATTATACATGCTTGTATATAGCCTAACATAAGGTGTTTTTTAAGTGATGCATTTTTTTCTTTTTCTTTCTTTTTTTTGTTATTAAACGCACAGATAGGATCCAAAATTTATAAAAGTTATCTGTTATTTTACAAGATAACACTGAAACTTATAAACTTAAAATGTATGTACTAGAAAGTATGTATTATTTTTTTTTACCATCATGTTTATTTCTTTTTTTAATTTTACTCTGTTCCAGGGTCCTATATAAGGAAAACATTCATTTAATAATTAGTGCAGATTTTAAGAATCACATCAAAGTCTGATTATTTCAACTTTCATTTTGAAAACATTGAATTATTTAATACATCTATGGCAAGATGCAGAAACAATTCTGTATTTAAAAAAATGTATTGACAATGAAAGCTGATTTTATATATTTTTATAATTATTATCAAGTGGATGTAATTGCACAATTCTAACAATCTTCTCACGGCACAAGGAAACTACTGAAACTCTTTATCAAATTGACAAAATTTGAATTTTCATAAAAGTCTAAAATTACTTAAGGTAATACACTGTTTTATGAACAATATTGTAACAACACAGAAAATTTTTATCATTGGTTATCAGTATCTATACTACACGTAATTTTATTTTTTTTCCGCAGCTTTATAATATTTTTGCAATCTGGCACTGAAAAAGATCATTCCAGTATACAATCAATCAAGTCTATAAAAATTGAAACAATAACACATTGAACGTCCAGTAAGAAGAGAAATATCTACCTCAATCCTTTCCCTGTTATTACAAAAAGCGTATTACAGGTGAAATTGATTTATTTAATAAATTCATTAATATGTTAATCATAATAATAAAATGGATCATGAAGTGTTACAAATCATTTGAAAATATTTCATTTAAAGAAAAATGAATTACATACGAAGAAAATTGTATATAATATTAAATTGTATCTTAATGAATCTTTTAATAATGATATAATCTGCTGATTTACCACGCCATTGTAAAAATCATTAAAGACATAATTCATTTTTTCTTTTTCGAGCAATGAGCATTTCAAAGATTTACTACACCATGAAACTTGTTTATTATTACGATTAATTATTTACAATAATTGAATCGGCAATTTGGCGTGCTTCCGTTCAAACACACGCACGCTCGAACACACACGCATACGCATTAAATGACAAAGACGATAAGGCACAGAATACACGTTATTACTTATGAGCAATCATTATACGTGATTGCACAGCCCCGATAAATGGAAAAAAAGGCAAGAGCATGAAAGGAACTTTTATTATAGAATTCTATGTTGTCAAGAAAATTATGTAATTATCTTGTTTCCATAAGTGAAAATACCATGTCATTTGCAACTTTATTTCCTTTCAAATTATTTACATTAGTAGAAAAATCGTGTATTAAATTTCCAATAATAAAAAAAAAAATTCTTTTCAAATTGCTTGATATTTTCACATGGATCGTGACAAATGATACTTTATAACTTATTCAAATTATTTTTGCTTGATTCTGATTACTTAGTTCCTAGCTAAAGAAATTAAATAATTCATAAAAATACAAGGATTACAGATTTAAAAAGAGGACTCAAGTACCGCGTGTAAAAATGAAATTTTCCTGACTACTATTAAAAGTTTAATAATTTATTAGACAGTTGAATTTATTTTTTACAACCATTGAAACATAATTATTAAAATAGTAGTCAATTTGTGCCCTAGGGTTATCACAAAAACATGAGTCTCAGCCTCTCTAAAAATTCATCTCAACTATTATTTGAGACACCTTTTACTGAACTCATCTGTTACTTTGAGTTTTATTATCATGAAAGATCATATGTACACGTGTATAGCCTTTTTCAGATTATTCGGGGCGGTGGTAAAAAAAATATTGCAAATATATGTATGTATACATGGTAATATTAGATGTATGTGTGTGTATGTGTATGTGTATTGTGTGCACTATACATATCTCATATACCATTAAGAGTATTCACATTAAAAAAGTTATTTATTCTTTAAAAAAGCAAGTTACTCTTATGGAAAAGATTCTAAATTTTATTTACAATTCGTTACTTAAAAATACATGCTTAATTTTTTCACTAATGAAAATACTCTTAATGATGTAGAATATATACATTTTTCATTGTTATCTCACTCTATTACTGTCATTGTTCGAAAAATTTTTTGACACTACAATGAAAATCAATTGCACAATCTGATTATTATAAAATGTTCATTTCAAGTCATTATTTTCCCCGCCATTCAAAAGAATATTCTCTTAGTACATTATCTATATAACATTTAAATGGCTAAGTAAAAGTATTATAATAATAACAATAATGGCATTCTCTTTTGCTGACTTTACATGATAAATAAAATAAAAAATGGAAATATTAATTTGTTTGACATAAATAAGTAATTAAGGCAAAGTTTTGATTACTGAAAATAGTAAAAATAAATACTTTTGAGTTATCATAATTTATACACATTGGAAAATAAAATTATTGAAAATTAACAAATATTAGCATCGAACATTTCATGACAATATATGCTTCTTTAGAATTTTTAAATTTCCATTTAGTGACTAATTAACTGTGTAAAAGTAGTATCAGTTACACCGTACTTATATACTTACACTTAAATGTATAGAAATATTTACATCTTCCTTTCATACATGGCCTAATAGATTCGTAAAGAAGAATTTTTCAAGTTGATCTCACGTAACGACACACAAAACAGCAATTGCATAAGAATTTTTACTTCGATACAGTCCACATGCATAACCGTCGCCAATTATATATATATATGAGTAAAAGTATTAGCACATAATGTACAGTTGTGAAATAGATCTTGCACGATTTCGTGGGGAATGATTATTCAGCTGAATGAAAGTCATCACGAGACTTGTATTTTTACTCTCGTTAATTTCAATCATGATATACAGGATGTCTCATGATCAATGATAGTATCTGATTCAATTTGTTTGTACAGCACTACAATTATATATAGCAAAAGAATTTGAACTACATTTTCAAGAAGAGAAAAAATGGAAATAAATTCTGTTCTCAATTCTTATTCATTTTTGTATGCAGAATCATTTGATTATGGATTTGAATATTAACTATGAGAAATCTTGCATATAATGTTCATTCTAATGACAAAAGCGAATGTAGCGTTCCATTTATGATTGCTGAAATCATTACCTAGTATTGGAAGCACCAATTCATTTTCATCAGACATAGAAGAAAGATATGTATATAAAGAAAGATTTATATATTAACCTTAATGCATTATACTATAATAAAAGAATCATTAAATAACTAATGACTTGATCTTGTTCTTCAATCGAAGATCTTTAGGATAAATGTCCTAGTAAACTGTTATCAAATGTTTCTTCAGTCTTGGGAGAGTAAAATATTCCTTGATTCGCGAATAGTCCCTGTTTGATTCTTTTACCACGGTATTCGTTCGAAACTAATTATTAATTAAATACAAAGGGTATTTCATACATATATTGTTCTAGTGCATAATGCATTATCTTTCACATCCCTTTTGTTTCACTACCTAGTATATTTGGTTTTTTGTATCTTTCTATTTTTTTGAACAAGACACAATTTTAAAAACAATGAACTTGCTTCGATTATGCTCGTGTACGATACACATAAATGCAGAAAATTAAAATCTCTTTAATAAAGTCGATAAAACATTGACTTCAGTCGGTTTGGTTTGCAGTAAACTCTACAAAACTCTGCATGCTGATACGCTAAATAATTTTCTTTTAAATTAATTTTTTTTTATAAATAATCTAAAAAGTATTATAGGAACCAAAAGGTATTCAAGATAAATACAACTTTCATTCAAATTTGAGCTACAGAGTTTTGGTTTGGTTATTAACATCCATTGATCCAAATAATGACACTCGTATCGATAACAATAATAAAAGTAAAGATTTTTTTTTTTTTCTCTCATTATGCAAACACTGTGTCCCTTAATCAACTTGAGCAGTGTATCCTTTTTATTTTTGGCATGTTTCTATGACCACAGTCGTTCCGTTTCCTCTTTGGGGGAAATCGTGGAATGAGACAAAAATGCACACCTGCCGGACAAACTGCACAACACTTTTTTTTTTGTAAATGTACAAGTATATACGAGGCACCGTTTTAAAATACTAAATATGTACAACTGTTCGCCCTTAACGCGTTCTCAGGTGAAAAATATGCGCAATAAGATTATTTTTTTTTCGTAACGAAGAACAAACTACAGTAATATATATATTGATCGTCGCAGAGAGAAAG